TTTGGGAGGTTGAGGTGAGGGAACTGCCTGAGCCCACGGGTTCGAGAACAGCCTGGGCAACTTGGCGAGACCTCATCTCTACAATAAATAAAAAATTAGCCAGGCATGGTAGTGTGTGCCTATAGTTCTGGCTACTTGGAAGGTTGTGGCGGAAGCATCACCTGAGCCCAGCAGGTTGATGCTGGGGTGACCATAAGTGTGCCACTGCACTCCAGCCTGGGCAACAGAGTGAGACTCAAACTTGAAAACAACAACAACAACAAAAAACAAGGGTACATGGGAGAGTTTTAAAAGAGTGATGATAGGCCATAAAGAGACAAGGGGAGCTATGCCTATGGATCTCCATTTATGATTCTGAGACGTTTCATAATGAATTAAAAGAGTTAAATGAGAAAGATGTAAAATGAACCTATCAGAGTTTTTAAAAGACTGTATGTCTCTGAAAAACTGAATACTCAAGAAAATAACTAAGAGATGTGGAGGTGAAGAATGAGGATGCAAGTAAAAGAAAAGATAATCATAAAAACAAGGTTGCAAAGAAAACGGGAAGACTTAGCATCCAGAATATGAGTAAGATTAATCCTCTAAATTTCATTAAAAATAATCCTCTAACTTTCATTAAAAAAGAGAGATCCCTCATGTATAAGAAATATCTGGAAATGTCATTATGCTGATTGTCACTGAGAAGACTAGAACCCTTAAGAAAATCACCTTGAAAAACAATTCAGAGGTGTCATTCAGGGAATGTCTTGTGATTTTGCACCATTCACATATGTCTTCACATACAATACTCTTAAAACATTTTTTCTTCTTTCACAACCCATGGCACTTCTTCATACTCCAACTTGAAATTTACATCTGAGTCGGGCTCGGTGGCTCAGCCTGTAATCCCGCGCCTTTGGGAGGCTGAGGTGAGTGGATTGCCTGAACCCACGAGTTTGAGACCCGCCTGGGCAGGTGAGACGTCATCTCTACAACAAATCAAAAAAATTAGCCGGGCGTGGTAGCGCGCGCCTGTAGTTCCAGCTACTTGGAAGGCTGAGGTGGAAGGATCGCCAGAGCCCAGTAGGTCGAGGTTGTGGTGGCCGGGAGAGGCCACTGCACTCCAGTCTGGGCAACAGTGAGACTCCAACTCAAAAAAAAAAAAAAGGAAAGAAAGAAAGAAAAGAAATTTACATCTGGTTTGGTGAGTTGAAAAACCCTTTTATCAGATGGTATATGACAAAGAACTATCTCAGAATTTAGGTTGAGTATAGGGAGTTTCAGGAATTCTGAATGTGCAAGGTGTGGTTTCTAGAGATATACTATGAAGTGTCCTATGAAATGCAACAATGACTGAAATATATACTATCATGTGAACAAAAGAAGTAAGAATCTTTTAATCCGACAACTCAAGACTGTATCCACTATGCCATTTAAAGGACTCTCACGTTTCAGAAAAAAAGAATCTGATTTTCACAAAAAGAGTATGCGTACCTACTGTTAATAGGTTTCTATAGTTCTCTAGCATCACATCTCTGTACAAGCGTCTCTGAGCAGGTTTCAATTGTTGCCATTCCTCCTGAGTGAAGTCAACAGCCACATCCTTGAATGTTACTATTCCCTGAAACAACACATTCCTGATCAGTCTGAGAGCACAGAGTGACATCTTCTGAAAACATTTGGGATTCAGAATTCATAAAAAGTTATACAAGTGCCTAATATCTGTCTGGTTTTATTTTGTATTCTAGGAGAGAATAGGTCATATAGAATATTTTCTTGTAATGTGATAATCATCAATCTGTAATGGTGACCGAAATCATTATAGACAATGCAGCGCGATGTGATAATTCACTGAGGCTATGAAGAATGGAATAAGAAGGGGGGTCACCAACAGAAATCTAGGGACAAGCAACACTTAAGAAACAAGCAAAGAAAAAAGATTCATTAATGAAAAATTATTTTTAAGTTGTCGGATGATTTTCATTAGCACTATGAGAAAACAATACGATGAAGCCAAGGAAATATTTCAGACATCTGAAAAAAAAAAAGCCATGATTACTATATTTTAACTTGCCTTCTCATAAAAGAAGTCAATAAAAAACCAAAAACTTAATTTCTGAAAGAATAAGAAAATAAACATCTCTTTTTTTTTTTTTTTTTGAGTTGGAGTCTCACTCTGTCACCCAGACTGGAGTGCAGTGGCCGCTCCCGGCCACCGCAGCCTCGACCCGCTGGGCTCTGGCGATCCTTCCGCCTCAGCCTTCCGAGTAGCCGGAATTACAGGCGTGCGCTACCCCGCCCGGCTGATTTTTTTATTGATTTATTGTAGAGATGAGGTCTCACCAAGTTGCCCAGGAGGGTCTTGAACCCGCGGGCTCAGGCATTCCACTCACCTCAGCCTCCCAAAGGTGCAGGATGACAGGCTGAGCCACAGAGCCCGGCTTATTTATTTATTTTTTAGAGACGAGGTTTTGTTATGTTGCCCAGGCTGGTCTCGAATCCCTGGGCTCAGGCAATCCTCTCGCCTCGGTCTCCCAAAGCGCTGGGCTGACAGGCGTGAGTCGCTGCGCCCAGCCTCCTGCAGAAATGTGCTTGTGAAAGGGGGAGAGCAGGCGAGGAGGCCGGGTTGAGGAGGCCAGGACAGCCCTGAGGCCACGGGTGGCACCGGCTCACTGCCCTCTCTGGCCCTGAGGGCCCCTGGCTGAGCCCACTGCCGCTCCTCCTCTCCAGCT